AGATTGACTAATAATTATTACTTTTGTGGTAGTTCAGTATGTGCGTCAACTTGGCTGGGCCTGGTTGAGTGACTGGGCAGCTGGTAGTAGTTAATCCCCATGAGGAGACTGGCAGTCAACTCCATGGTGGGATCTACCAGCTGGGTAGCTGCCTTTGGATATGTGGTCTGCTTCCTGTATATAAGGAGAAGCCTTTGGGAATGGTCTCTAGTCTGTGGCACACTTGGACCCTGTATGTAGCCATGTTGTTGCTCAGCAGCCTGCCATGCTCTGCTGACCTTGGGACTTACAGTAGACTTAAGTTAATGGCCTGCCGTATGGTTTGGTAACATCGGGACTGTGTCTTTTTACTTGTCAACCTTGGGGCTTCTCAGCCTCAGCAGCCAGCAGCTGTCTGAGTGAAGAAAAGCCTCTAACTCCAATGGGCCAGGAGCAGAAGGCAGAGCTGGACCCCAAGGTTGAGGGGCTTTCACCCAGCCCCTAGAGCCTGGCGCTTTGAACTTGTACTTAAAGCCTCCAAATTGTAAGAATAAATTCCTGTTTGTTAAGGCCATCCCATTTGTGGTATATTTCTTGTCAGAGTGGCACTAGGTAACCAGAACAACTTTGCTTTCAATTCTTCCAAGATTGACTGTTTTTCTAAAAGTAGCTTAATAATTCATTATTTGTTTACCCACATGAACATCTTATCACCAAGACTATACTTGCCTAAGTAAAATGTCTTCCTCATTTCATTAAGAATACCTTATATTCTTAGAATGAAAAGAAAAAACAGTATATAATATTGTTAGCTTTTAGACTGGTATCTAATACAATTATGTTGTTGTTGTTGTTGTTGTTGTTGTTATGTGCCGTGGAGTCGGTCCCGACTCATGGCGACCTCTCCTTGGGTTTCCAAGGCAGTATCGCTACAGAAGTAGATTGCCCAACCTTCCTTCCAAGGAGTGGCTGGTGGGTTTGAACCACCAGCCTTTTTTACAGACTGTTCCTATGTTTTTGTTCTAATATTTCATAGAAATGATTTTTTTTCTAAGTTCTGATTTGTATGAAATAAAAGAAAAACTCTAACTTTGAAACATCAAGTTAAGTGAAACTAGTAGTTTTAATTTGTTTAATGAATTATTATGGAAAATATAAACATCTATTAAAAAAAAAAAAACAAGGACTTCTGGCAAGATGGCGGAATAGGCAGAAAGACTGCACAGACCCTCTTCAACAAAGAAAAGGGAAACCAATTAACATAGACACAGAAGATAATCCTGGACCCCTGAGCCTTGAAGGGAAGGATATAGAAGTGGACTAAACTCCAACTAGCAGAAGAATTTGCATGAAAATACCAAAAAAGGAAACAGATGGAGCTGCAGTCTGGCAGCGATCCTGACAGCACAGGCAGCTTGGAGATTGCCGAGTGGTGGTATGACCTAAGAATTAACCTAAAAATCAGCCCTGCTAGCCAGGGACTGCATGGAGGACTGCTCTGGTGGCTGGGGAATAAAAGGCGATGCAGCAGCATAGAGGAAGACGGGCTGAGTTGGACTTTTGCCTGTCTGGAGGGCGTGGCTATATTGAATGTTTACACGTGGCTTGACCATTTTGGATATTTAAAAAGACAGCACTCTCCCAGATTCCAAGGGCTTAAGAACAGCTTCTGCTTGCCAGTAACCCCAAGGATACTCCGGACCTGGACAACTGAAAAGGCACAACATTCCCCTTGTTATTCTTATATCCCACACCCGCTTGATGAACGGAGTTGCAGCCATCCCCCACTCTCATCCACTTTCTGGGCCTGCAGGAACTTCATCCCAATCTGTGTGCTCGGACAGAGCCTGGGTACCCTACCCTGCCCTCCCAGATTTTTTTATTTTTATATATTTTTTTTCTCTTTTTTCTGGTTTTTAGCTTGCTTGTTTTTGTTGATTTCAAAACTACTATTATTATTAATAGTTTTGTCCTTTTTACTATTATTCTTTATTCTTCCCCTCCCAGGTCCTAGTTTTCAGCTTTTTTTCTTTTCCTTGTTCCTGGTTGCATTTTTTTTTTTTTCTCTCTCTCTATTTTTCTTGTGGTTAACCCCATTCCTTGTTTTTCTTTTTGCATTTTTCCCATTTTTTTCTTCATTATTCTTCTGTACCTTTTTTCTCTTATCGCCCTATCCCTAGATATTGCAGGGTTTTTTGTTTTTCTCTTCTTCTTTTTCCCTTTTTTCTTTTTTTGGTTACTGTTCCTGTGTGATTGCATGGTATATTTTTTGTCCATATGCTTTTAGTTTTTTGATGGTTATTCAATTGTAATTTTTGTCTAACTGAGTGGGAGACAGCAACAGTCCCATAAGACACAACTACACCTACACCTGCAACTTCACTTACTGAGCAAGAACCACCACCTCCTTCTCCACCAACAGGCCAATGATAAAAAACCACCAAGAACAGCCTGAATCACCTTGGCTGCTCTTCACAAACAGTTAACAGAGATCTAAATACAACAATGCCACCATGTCTCAGAGACAACAGACCATCATAGTCCACACAAAGAAGCAAGATAAAGTGCTAGAAACAAGGGAGCAGAATACAGATCCAGAACACATCCCTGAGGAAGAAGCAGCGTTGGAACTCTCTGATAAGGAATTCAAAAGAATTACATTTAGGTATCTTCAAAGGATTGAGAGACAGACCAAAGAAAACACAAAAAAAAACCCTAGAAGAATTTTGGAAGAAAATACAATGACAAAATAAATGATAAATTAAAAATGATTCTAAATCTACAGATAGAAACCCAGAAGGTTAATACTAAGTTATCAGAAATAGATAACATATTGGAAGGGCAAAGGAGTAGAATTGAGGCAATGGAAGACAGAATTAATGAGATTGAAGACAAATACCTGAATACTTCTACGCAAAGGGATTAATCAGAAAAAAATCAAGAAAGCCTAAGGTTCATGTGGGATACCATCAAAAGGAATAACTTACGTGTCATTGGAATTCCAGAACAGGAAGAGAAAAA